TGGGTGTGGGTGTGGGTGTGGGTGTGGGTGTGGGTGTGGGTGTGGGTGTGGGTGTGGATGTTAATCTTCCCTTTATTGAGATCCATACTCACACCCACACCTACACCCACACCCACACCCTCTTTATTTCATTGTAAAATATTGTTGGAAATGAATTAAATACTTGTCTTGCATACATCCAAAATTTCAATAGAAAACAATTGCTTTCTCTATAATGACAAGATTAATTAGAAGAAAGTGCCTTTGGTGCTTTTTAAATATCGAACAGTTGTTGAAATCTGACAGACTAGAAAAAAAAATCAGTTATGAGAGTAGAAACTTTTTTCATTAGACACTTTATTTAACATTAAACTATTCTTGAAGAATAGAGAAAATAAAAGATTTTCTTGTGATAAGATGAATTTAATAAAGGTATAATGGAAACATTAAAGGTTAAAAAGAAAATTTGAATTGTTAGTAGACCAAAATAATTCTGATACGAAAAGGATTGTTATAAACAAAATTAGTTATTAGAAAAAAAGAGAAAACAGTTTATTTTTTATTTGTTTGTTATGATTGGTACATCTCTGAACTATTCAGATAACCACCAGTATTCCTACCACCGACAACTAATACTTTTCCATTTGCTAAGACGGATGCTGTGTGTGCATATCGAGAAGAAGTCATATTACCAATGATTGTCCACACTCCGGTCAATGGATTATATACTTCAGCTATATTCAAAGGACTAGCATACCATCCACCAGTAACTAACACCGTTCCATTTGTTAATACGGATGCTGTATGACGATATCGAGCATAATTCATACTAGCAGTGATTGTCCAGACTCCTGTTGATGGATCATACAATTCAGCACTATTCAATCTACTACCACTATTTTGTCCACCAACAACTAATACTTTTTCATTTGTTAAAACGGATGCTGTGTGTTCATCTCGAGGGTAGTTCGTGCTGCTGATGGTTGTCCACACTCCTGCTGATGGATTATATAATTCAGTTCTATTCAAAGTTGCACCATAATATCCAGCAGTTACTAACACTGTTCCATTTTTTAAGATGGATCCTGCATGTAAATGTCGTTTACTGTTCATGTTACCAGTAGTTGTCCAAGTTCCTGTTGATGGATTATACACTTCAGCACTATTTAAATAATTACCATTCCATCCACCAGCCACTAATACTTTTCCATTTGTTAATGTGGTCATTGAGTGTTGATATCGAGTGTAATTCATACTGCTAGTCATTGTCCACACACCTGTTGATGGATTATACAATTCAGCACTATTCCAAGAACTACTACTATCGTATCCACCAGCAACTAACACTGTTCCATTCGTTAAGACAGATGCTGTATGATAATATCGAGCATAATTCATACTACCAGTAATTGACCACATTCCTGTTGATGGATCATATAATTCAGCACTACTCAAAATACCACCACTATTTTGTCCACCAGCAACTAATACTTTTCCATTGGCTAATACGGATGCCGTGTGGTAAGCTCGAGCATAATTCATATTACCCATCATCAACCATTCTATGAGCAAATATCTGTTATTTGCAGTTTAGAAAGGAATGCAAATCAATAAATCTCTTAAAACTCACAGTCATATACGGAAAACTATTTCTTATATAGTATGAACTCTTTCTACTTCGGCATAAGTCAAAATCTTTTTTATTTATTACACAAAGTTTTCGAAGACAATATTATGCAGTTATCAAACAAAATCTTTTATATAATTTAGGAAGAGAAAGAAAAGATCTTCGTTCTTTTATTACAAAATCTTTTGTATCAGTAGCATTCTAAAGAAGTAATATGTTCAACGAAAAGTTTGATTTTATAACCAATAGCGCTATCAACGGATCATTTACTCCAGAAATCGATACATTACCTGGAGTCGGTGTTGTAGTCGTTGTTACAGCTAGAAATAGAAATATTTTCTATTTAGAAAAATTGAGATGAATATATTTCTGCAATGCTACTACCCTAGTGAATGTACTGAACTAAGGGTACCCATATACTGAGAAAGCCTCAGCAAGGTAGCCGATATAGGTACTTCGAAAAATCTCAGTAATTATACTGATGTAGGTATTGGATTGGGTACCCATAGTAGTATGTTTACTGAACAAGTACTTGTATGGGTACCCGTATCTATAATTTTACTGAGGAAAGCTCTACAGGATACCCTAAATTTGTCGCGTTCTGTGTAGCAACTGTTCATTCACCGTTTTCTTTTGCACACAGGGCTCCATTTAAACAACTTGACAAAAACATAAGAAATTAATATTTTTTCATCCTAATTTTTTCTATAGATTATTTTTTGACTATTTACTAATCAAGAACATGCCGATCTCGATCGTAAATTGAGAGAGGACTACCCTCAAGTGGTCTGATGGAGATCCAACCAACTCAGGTCCGGTCAGATTCCGAAATTTGACCTGCTTGAGTTTTCAGAATAGGAAAAACTAAATTAAATAAAATCGAAAAAATGTCATAAATTGCTTTGAGAGAAACAAAAATGAAAAAAGTCAAAAGTTAGGTTCGATCAACAACATACTGCACCTTTGGCAACAAGGTACCTAAAAATACTGTGCAATAGTACCCAGTTAAGTATTTAATCAGTACCTTCAAGTACCCATTTACTAGATACTTTCCAGCAGGGTACCCGCTCCAGTACCTTATACGTACCTAAAAATACTTTGTGGTACTTCAGTACGCTACAGATCCTATGACATACTAGTAGCAAGGTACTTTTTCAAGTACCCTTAGCTCAGTACATTCACTAGAGTATTTAACTACTTTTTCGAATAAAGAAGAGAATTTTCTGGTTATTATTTACTGAAGTGATTACTGTAACAATATTAGTCATTAAATACAAGATGAATTAATGCAAAATGCTAATAGTATTAACTTTTATCTGTCTGCTTAACTAACTGAATGTATTCGAAGAAAAAGTAGAACTTTAGTTTTGTAAAACTGTCTTCGTATTGTCTGGATAACTACGCACAATGAAAGTTTCTAAGACATATGTTTAAAAAACATCTGTATTGCTGCAGGACAAAAAAAAATATGAAATCAAACATTACAAGTTTTTTTCTCTTTATCTTCACAACGGAAACCTTATACAATTCAATTAAAATTTTCAATTTATTCGTTGTGAATTTACGCTCGAATCTCGTTGGAAAAATATTCTTGACGAAATGTCCTTCTTAGTAAATGTCCTTAGTGGGAATATCCGTCATCCTGATCTGAAGATGTTTAAATAACGTGTGATTAGAACTTAGATGATACTGTAATTCAAACATACTCCGACAGAGATTGAAGTTTTTCACAGAGAGTCACTCCCCAATTCTGATTATCGTTGTTAAAGTATTCTTATCGTCATTCAACTATTTTTTGGTTTCGTAATGTCGTCTTCAATGATATTTCATTGAAATTGAACTGAACCTGATCTCAGATTCGATCAGATCAACAAACAATATAAGCTTCTAATCTACAAAATTCAAAAGGCTTTTGTTGCTTATAATCACCAGGATGATTGTCAACATGGTCTCGCTAAAGCATGACCATTATTGATGCGCCCATTTCCGTAAGAAATGATTGATGATGAACTTCATTCAACAGTAGAGGTTTAATAAAGCACCACGCGAACGGTGCAGTCAGATAACAATAGCTCAAAAGTAACCATTCTTCTTTACAGCAACGATCACTAGCTGGCTCATTCGTTATCCGAACCAGACAATAACGGTGTTGTCCTTCTACTTATCTATCCAAAGAGACATTCGATCATTCGTTCGTCCTTTTCATACTCCAAAAATGATAAGTCTTCACTCTGTCTTTTATTAAAAAGTTAAAATAGCTAATCAGCCGTCTCTCGAAAACTGGGTAAGGTTGAAGACATCAATAAAGAAAGTCAACAGTTTCTCTCATAGGTGAACTGTCGATCATCTGGGCTAAGTATTGACTCCAATTTCTGAGAAGTTATTCATCGATTCTCCAAGGAGGAAGCAGCTCGTTTGAATCAGTCAAAGATCAAATTCAAGTCACTAAAATAATACAACGTCGCTGCTTCCCTTCTTGAATATCTCAATTATAGATATATCCCACACCGATCAACTAGAAGATTTTTTCACTAATCCAATCATATGAATATCCATGTATATAGGCGAATAAAAACGCGAATGCTGTCTTACTTGTTGTTGTACTGATAGTCGTCACTGTTGTTGCCGTTGTCGTCGTCGCAGTTATTGTCGTTGTCGTCGTCGCAGTTGTTGTCGTTGTCGTCGTTGCTGTTATTGTGGTTGTGGATGCTATTGTTGTTGTTGTTATTGTCGTTTTAGATACGGCGGTCAAGGCAACGGCTAATGCAGCAATGCCTGCGCCAAGAAGAAGGACAGCAATTAGAGACAGGATTAAACAGACAGGTGAACATCGCAAACAAATATGTTTAAAATAGCTAAGTGGAATATTTTCAAAGTATAATAATAAAAAAGTGCGATACAATGACTTACCGCTTCTTTTTGTTTTTATTCTGCTTTCTGTCACGTAAATCCTCGAAGCATATTCTAATTGACGACATGCCAGTTCTCTGTATCAATTTAAAAAATAGATATAGATAGAAGAAAAGGGATAAATGGTCCGCTTTGATTTCAGTTTTACCATCGGATCGAGTCAAACTACAACCCAGATCGAACATGCCCGATCGTAAACGACCGTTTACGGAGATCGTGAAAAAATACGAAGTCATTGACAGGTTAATATCTCAGCTCCGTATACGGCTATGGTATGCACAACTTTAGAAATTTTCGGCAGAAATGGGCGAGCACGATTGCAACAGTCGATGAAGGAAACAGTATCTTCGGAGTAAGCATAGATACTGCTTCCTACAACTTCATATGATTGCTTTTGACTTTTGCTCACACACTTCTTTAATTTCTGTCTATGCTTACGTACATATATCGGACAGCTACGACAACACGTTTGCAGTAGCTAGCTATGACGCTGCTCTCGGCTAATAATAAAGGGTTATTTGGTTGACAAAGTGGTAGACGTAGACTGGAGGAGATAAACTACAGATGCTGGCATAGCGCAGAGAAATATATGGATAGAACATATAGTACAAAGCATAAAAATTCAGGATAAGGGCCTACAATAGAAGGTCATTTAGAAGGATTAAAGGTGCAAATTCAATGAATAAGAAGTATTTTAATTTAATTTATTTTATTTCATTTTATTTCTTTCGGTCATTTATGGAGACAGATTCGATGAACAGTAAGTATTTTTGTTTATTTTATTTATTTTAGATCATCTATTGGGACACATTCAATGAACAAATATTTTAGTTTTATTTAATTAATTTTATTTATTTTAAATCATTTAAGGCGACAAACTCAGAGTAGCTGCCTAATTCGAGTTCGAATATAAATGAAAATTTCGGGCGCACACCCCCTTTTTCATTGCTGCAGCAAAAGATAAATTTTTATTCGAATTCGAATTTATAATTCGAATAAGGCACCCATATAACTACGGCCAAAAAAGTAAAAGATAAATTTTTATTCGAATTCGAATTTATAATTCGAATAAGGCACCAATATAACTACGGCCAAAAAAGGAAAAGATAAATTTTTATTCAAATTCGAATTTATAATTCGAATAAGGCATCCATATAATTACGGCCAAAAAAGTAAAAGATAAATTTTTATTCGAATTCGAATTTATAATTCGAATAAGGCACCCATATAACTACGGCCAAAAAAGTAAAAGATAAATTTTTATTCGAATTCGAATTTATAATTCGAATAAGGCCCCCATATAACTACAGTAGTGTCAAACGTGAAAATTGAATTCAAGTATTCAAATATTACTTCAACTATTCAAGTTTTCAAGTATTCAACTATTCCAGTTTCATAAGTGCTTCGCGGCCACAGCGCTCAGTGCGGCGCCTACTCCTTCCTCGGACCCACGCGCTCCTTCGGAGCGCATTGTGGGTCCTGCGGTATTTTGATAAAAAGACTCCTTTTTGCCTTCTGATCCGTCACGGGGATTTCTTTGTTTTCTGCTTGGGTTGGGATTGGTTGGGTTGGGTTGGGTTGGGTTGGGTTGG